CCTCACATGTGAAACAATGCAAGAATGTTTACAGGAGAAATGATGGGGTGGTGAGAGCCTCAACACGATCAGTGAATTAATCCCCTGATAGGGATTAACTGAGTGGCAACTGAAGGTGGGTAGTGTGCAGATGGAGGAGGTGTGGCTTTGGGGGTTTGGTATTGGAATATATATTTTGTTTCTGGTGAGTGGAGTCTCTCTCTGCTTCCTAATCATGTGAGACACTTCCTTCTGCCACACTATTCTGCCATGATGTTCTGCCTTACATCAAGCATCAAGGAAAAGAGCCAGACTTCTATGGACTGAGTCCTCTGAAACTGTGAGTCCCTAAATAAGATTTTCCTTCTCTAAAACTGTTTTGGTCAGATCTTTTAGTCACAGCAAAAAAAGAAAGAAAGAAAGAAAGAAAACACAAACAAACAAACAAAAAAACCTGAACAAAACATCTTCCAATACTGAGCAATCCTTCCTCCTCCTCTGCTGGTGTTCAGAGATTACTTTTTTCCTGATAAAATTAGAATACAAAGAATCATTTGGATAAAAATGTGATAAAAATCCTTCAAGTCAAGTGAGGCTGGAGAAGGCACCTACACTGAGGATGAGCCAAGATGGGCAGAGGTGAGCCTGGCATTGCTGTTCCCTTTACATATCTCATGACTATTCCAAAATGCTTCAAAAAACCCCCACAAATCTGAACGGACTTTCTTCCCACTGCATGGAGGATGTGAAACCACCAAGTCCACCCATGGTCAGGGCTTCTGGGAAGCAGCCCTGGCAGGGTTGCGTTAGGGCTGCAGGTGCCTGCTGATCACTGTGCATCTGTAGCACAGAAGTAAGTGGCTGCGTCTGCAGCCTGGGAAGCCGTGATGGACAGGACGCTTCTTTGGGAGGAGGTGTCCAGGGTGGCTGTTAGTCTTCCACTGTGTTTTTCTTTCTCATTTGAACGTATTAAGATCACCAAAGCAGGACCTTTACCCGAATCCTGTCTATACCACTGCAGAGTGGTAGTACTAGTTTTATAACTGCAGTTCATGGTGGCATTTTCATCCTCCTGGACACTCAGGATCCGAGGACTATCTTCTTCTTGTTGGCTGTTCACCCCTAGGCAGAAATGAGGCCAGAGACCAGAAGTCAGTACTGAACTTTCAAATCCTATTCCCCAAATCATAGGAAGATTTTACCTCCAAATCTGATCTCCCTATTCCCATCTCCACCAGCCCCTCACTCACTGGCCAACTGAAGCCACAGAGTCACCAAACACACTCCCAGGAGTTTCTGCATCTTCCTTCCTTATTGGGATCACTGGAGGCACAGCTCTGGCACCTAAAAAGGAGCCAAATCCCTCAGTGAGAAGAGTTCCCATTATTGAACACTTATCTAGTCTTCCAGTCCCCTCCCAGAGTCTCGATTTTACCCAGTCAGCAGCAAACTCAATCCTTTGCTTTGAACACACATGCAAACAAGCAAGCAAACAAGCAAGCAAGCAAGGGAACATGCGTGCGCACTCATGCGCGCATGCCCACACACACACACATACACACACACACACACACACACACACACACAATTCAAAGAGGATCTAAGAAGAGGGAGACACTGACATCTGGTGGTGGCAACATCATCCCTCTGATGGAATGTGCTCTGGATGGTGAAGTGTGCAGAACTGATGCAGAAGGAAACTGAAATATAGTCCATTCTCTGCCTGAATAGAATTCTGGTTCTGACTTAGAGTAAAAGTATATACAGCTGATTTCTGGTGAGAACTCAATAAAGGAAGGATGTCAGCATCCAGAAACTACTGGATACCTTTGAGAAGAACTGTTAAGTTTGCCACTCTTACAATTTCTACAAATGTATCTTCAAGATGATGTGACTATTTTTTTTTTTGCCTAATGTTGGAATGAAAGTATATAAGACAGAGTTTTTATTTTGTGAGAAATAAAATGGACTGTGATTTGATTAAATTAAAAAGGAACAAATTAGTGAATACCAGGTTT